AAGAGGTGATAAGAGCACACCCTTCTGGTGATCAGGCTGGTTGCTCCAATCTATTGGTGGGGAGCAACACCTGATGGAAAACGTGTCCAGCGTCCCTGCGAATGATTCAGCATCTGAACACACTAACATCCTGCCAGCGTTGATTACCCTGAAACCAGGGGATTGACTGAGCAGATGGAAGGATGTTACGTGAGAGGGATTGACAAGGAGGGCCCATTTCAGCCCCGCTGCTGGGTGCCCCCTTTTCCAGATGTAGTAAGCCAGTGAATCTGTACATTCCAGTCTTAAGCAACAACTGCAATCTAAGCACTGACTATCCTCGAGCGCCCTGAGTGTGCCTTGTTCTGTCTACTTGACATTGCAGCAGGGCGCAATGAACGTGTCAGTAAATCAACCAGTCAGTGGGCATCGCCACACCGCTCTCGAAATCTGCAAAATGAGAATGAACTTACCGGTAGAACATGGCCAGATGCACCTGCCACATTTTTGTCTTTTTCACATTTAGCGAGTGGTGTGGCGATGAAACAACCAGCCGACCGACCAGCATTCAGTCTCAATGGAACCGCACATCTGCTTACGTCCACTGCCTTCTATGCACACCACGTCCTTTGTTTCCAAAGCATTCAGGTCTAGCAGCAGCACGCAATCGACGTGTCGGTCAATCACGGAAGTAGAGAATCAGCCGACCGTCCAGCGTTCAGTCATGTCTAGCAGCAGCATGCGGTCGACATGTCTGTCAATAACTAGTCAATCACAAAAGTAGACAATCAGCCGACCTTCCAGCGTTCTGTCTTTGGCGGAACCGAACATCTGCTTCCTTCCTTCCCCTCCATGCACCCCATGTCCTTTGTTTCCAAACCATGAACGGCCTTGGCTGTAGTGCAAAAACAGTCGGGGCCCAGAAGACTCCGACTTCCCCGGGAAACCCCGGGCCCGAAACTGCACTGTGTGACTTGGCGCCAGGATAAGCTGGCAGGCTTCCCTGGGAGACGCCAGGGACGGGTTGCTGGAGTTCGGTCGGGAACAGGGGACCAAAGGCTCCGCGCGCCACAGGCCGGGCCAGTCTGTCATCATTTTAAGTCCATGATCTGCGTTGTGCTCCCCTTGATGTCCTCCCTGTCGATGCTTCCAGTAATGTGCCGCTCCCGTTGTCATCCACAACTGAGGCCATGTCCATGTTCCAATCCTGCTGCTCCCGGCACAGGCAGGTGCTGCTCTTCATGGGGAGACTAGTGAAAGGGATGTGGAGGAGCTGGATGTTGGGGGGGTTGGGGGGTATGGTGGGGTGGGTAGGGTTGTGGTGACTGGGGTTGGGGGGAACCGTGGGGCCGTGTGAAAAACAGATGCCTCCCTGTTATTGTTGCGATTCTGCTGGCTCCAAGAGTGTGCAAGAAGAACTTGCCCCTGAGGTTGGGGAGGTTGGGGGGGTTGGTGGGTATGGTGGGGTGGGTAGGGTTCGAGGTCATGTAGGGGGGTGGCTGTAGAAAAGATGCAGGGTTCGTGGAGGTCCGGCGTTTCTATCACGTGGACCTTCTTGAGCAGGTGCAGTCTAACCGAAAATTGGACCGCGGTGGACTTCCGAACGGGGCCGAGGGTGGCGCCAGGGCGTTCGATATACATCGTCATCCTACGCAACACCCTTTTCAAGGTAACATCATTTCCCTTTTGGGGCGGCAGGCGTGTGCTTAGAGAAATGATGTTACCTTGAAAAGGGTGTTGCGTTTTTCAGTAACTGATGATGGTCCTATACGACAGAAAGGGGAAAAGAAAAAGGTAAAAAATTACGAAAAAGGTAGGAAGGGAAGACGGGAAGGGCATGAGAAGAACAAGAAGTACGAAAACCTCTAGGTTCGACGTCTCTCGGGGACTATCCTCTTGACTTTCTTTTGTTTGTTAGACTAATAAAGCGAAAAAAAGAAATCGTTAGGAATTTCCTGCTTGAACGTGGTTGGAGCTGTGGCTGTAGAATGCCACACGTGGTCATTGGGGGGGGTAGCAATCATTCCCCCGAAGCGATAAACTTAGGGCAGTTGGAGCAAGGGAGGAGATGTCTTGGTGATCTTGCGGGGATAGTTCTTTTGGGTATTAATATAACCACCGGACATTAGTTGGTTAGGTGCTTGTAACGTTGGATTAATGGATCGACCAAGTGTTCGATCCCATCTCCACTGAAGTAAATGCTCTCTTTGTCCAATGTGGATAATGCTAGACATAGCTAGCAAGATAGAACTGCAGAAAATCTAACGGGGTATCCGCCATCTGGTGATGGCTGCGAGTTGGGCGCAGACATCGTAGGTTTAGTTATGTAGTTGTGAAGAGTGTACTACGCGCTGTAACTTGTACGAATGGTATCGAACAAAGCCTGGTGTGGCATCGAGAGATGGTTTTGGGAGTATGGGATGGGGTCGTTCTCGCTGTTTATTAAACTTTATTTAGTGTTTTTTCGTCTTTCGCTTAGGGGCAGACCCCACTGGTGCTATTTTCGTACTTGGAAGTCATGAACCTGATTGTACTGATGGCCATGTCCGTGCGTTCCTAGCATCTTTCGGACTGGGTACAGCCATAATGAGGGTGCGCTATGTTCATGGGAAGATGGTAGTGTGTGTGTGCCCTGAAAACTCAAGGCTTCAGACGATGAAGCTGTCCACAAGGCTTTGTGTCTGTTCCTTTTTCAAGTTTTCTGCTTCGGGACTGTTGTTATTTTTCTTCTGACTCGAATCTGTCTCTATATATCTGGTGTTCGATACATCCCGTTTTCTATAGGCTTTGTGTCCCTTTTTTGCTTGGGGAGTCCTTATCCCCCCCCCTCCCCCTGCCCCCTCTACATTTCTTTTCTGATTGCCCCACAAGCCCCCCAAAAAAGAAAGGTTGCTCAACAAGCAAAGCAAGGCAAAGAAAAACAGACATCCAACACGATATTGAAAAAAAAGAACGATGACGAATCTTCGGTGAAATCTCTTGTTTGAAAAGTTTCTGATGTCTGGTTTGGGAAAAAGATAGGAGGATCTTTTCTCGCGGGGTCCGCCTTTTTGTCCTTTTTGGATTCGTCCTGGAGGGGGAAGTGCCTAACATGAGATTAATTCTTGTATCCAACAGGATTTGAACTCGTGATCTGTTTGCCAGCAGTAGGTGGGTGTACCATTCTGCCCCTAGGCAGCAGTACTCTGTTGTTGTTGTTTCTTTGTTGTTTCTTTATTTCTCCCATTTCTTTTTCACTGCCTTTTTCTTGGGGGCAAACACCTGGCCTGTTGAAGGTTTCGAAAAGACATTGGCCGATGTGGGCGGCAACCCCGTTGATCTATGTACTGGCCATGAGTAGTTTTTCTGTTTTCTCTTGTTCTTAACCGTGAGTAGCTTTTCTCTGAACGTCAAAGTTCGAAGTATAATAATAATAGCATATTTATTATTTTTAGAACAACGGCGACAGTGGTGTCTGCTCGAGTTTGGACAGTGGCTGTGGAGTCGCGGCACATTGTTGTCTTTTGCGGAGACTCTTCTCAAAGAAGGATCAAATCATTCAACAATCTATGTTGCACGTGCTTTGTCCTATTGGTAAAATGCTTTGCGTACGACGCTTGCCTGTGGCCTGAGGGAGCAAAAACCAGCCAAGTACTTGGGTGTGCGGTATGTATCTTCCCTGATTCATTTGTTAGTGTGGCTTGCTGCCGTTGTCAGGGTTTATGTGCTTTATTTGATAGTCGTCGATATTCCGCGCTCTCCTTTGACGAGTTTCCGTCTCCCAATTGTGCATGTGCCTGCTGATAGCCAGATGGTGTGCGGCGATCGAATATACACTCGCAGGCTTTTGTTCAGAGTCTGTGCTTAGAAGGGTGACGTGGGTGGAAAATGCTGAGGGACGACAGTTTTGCAGTAGGTGGGGCCTTCCAACGTAACTGTAGTAGCCATAAACTTGAGTTGAGCTACTTTCCTCGTCCTTCGAGAGCCACTCGACACGGTAACAACCAGCTTCAGAGATTGATCTCATCTGTCCTCCGCCCAGATGCTGGTCGCTGCTTGTTCTTCCTATAAATCCCTCACGATTAGGTAGGGAGGCCACTTTGCCAACGGAAGCCTCCGGCAGTGGACCAGGACCTGTACCATGTCAATGCAGAGGGACAACAGTTTTGTGGTAGGTGGGGCCTTCCAAACTGCCCGTAGTGTCCGTCAGAGGCTTGAGTGAAGCTACTTTCCTCGTCGTTTGAAACCCGCTGGACACAGTAGAATCCAGCTCCAGAGATTGATCTCATCTGTTCCCTGCTCACGTGCTGGTTGCCGCTGAAATTGGACCTGTAGCTAGTCTGGAATCGGGCCCGTCACTAGTCTGGAATTGGGCCTGGAATTGGACCCATAACTGCAGGTCTGGAATTGGGCCTAGAACTACAGGTGTGGAAGGGCCTGGAAATGAGCTCGGAAATCTCGCGTAATACAGGTCTTGAACTTGGCGTGGATTTGGGCCTGAAATTGTGCCTGGACTGGGTAGGATCCTTTTGTGCCGTGTCAGCAAGGTGGAATAATGGGTCTCTCTCTTGTTTGTTGCCTTTTTCTTCTTGGGGATAATCGCTCTGCTTCTTCTCCAGCTTCTTCTGGTTGCCCTCTTCCTCCAGCCTGCTGAGGAGCATTTTGGGTTTCGCTCCGTCTAGGCCTGACAGTTGCTGCTGCTTAGGCTCGGCAACAGTTTTATCGTTACTTTTAAGTTACATTTTGATGCCTTGGCTGTCACAGACCATCAGGTCAGTTTGTCGTTTGGCATACATACATGAGACTGATGATTCCCGTTTCCTAGACGTACTTGTCTGCTTCGGCGCATGCCGGCTTTGATGCCCGACTCTCCTGTCCAGGCGCCTTCCGTTACTCAATGGAAGCCATGCACTGGCAGGATGGGGAAGCCTTTACCCGGCCCGCTTCACACGATATGGCTTTATGTACGAGAGGAGATTGAAAATGCAGAAAAGAGGATTCCCAGCAGATCAGTTATTCCGTCTGTGAGCGCCTCATAAGTGAACGGTTTTTGTCACAAATCCCTGAAAGCCCTATGCATTCTGCAGTGTTTGCCTCATGCCAAATTTTAGCTCCTACTGTCCTCAGTTTCAAGTACTGTAGTCTGCATGTATCAGTTGTTAATAACTCCATCTTGTTGATGCTCCTGTCACAATTTGCTGTCACTCCCCTCCGTCTTCGTCTTCGTCTTGTGTGTGTGCGTGCGTGCGTGCGTGTGTGTGTGTGTGTGAGAGAGAGAGAGAGCGAGAGCGAGAGCGAGAGAGAGAGAGAGAGAGAGAGAGAGAGAGAGAGAGAGAGAGAGAGAGAGAGAGAGAGAGAGAGAG